TTCTACATGTGGCCTGAGGATTTGTCCAGGGTGTAACCCCGCCCCTCATCTAATGACAAATGGGGTTGACTCCACCTACACTCATATTCTCAGAGGAGGTTCCTTTATAAGTGAGTACAAAAAAAAACAAACAGCACCTTATTCCACATTCTAAATTATGAAAAAGGACCATCAAGCTTTGACAGCATGCAGCAAGACTTTTTAAGCATGTAGGTTTACTATGCTGGCATGATGGATTACGTTTGTGAGACTTTTTCGAAGGGAACTCTTGAGGGATTAATAAAAATCTATCTATCTGTTCATTGTTACGGCAGTTAATAATGATGGGGCTCAGTCTGTACAGATTACAAATGCATGGCTCTATGTGAATGACTGGCCGGCCAGCAGTCCACATTCATCGCCTATTGAAAATATCTGACACAGAGTTAAGAACAAAGACTAGAGAGACCATGGACTGTCAACTACACAACAAGAAGAAGAAAAATTTCACTTGTACCAAATGGTTAGTAAGTACTATGAAGAGAAGGAATTGACTACATTAAACCAATACAAGTTCTGGTAAATAATCAAACTTCAGATTTGATTTGTTTTTTCCCCGACATTTTAAACATGCACTGGTAACAGAGCTTGTAGTGTAGTTAGTATTTTATTTTCTGTCAGATAATTTAATTCACTAATCGATTAAGTGTTTCAAACCATGACTGCAGGCATCGCTGGTTATCGGAGCGTAAGCGATTCAGATGAGTTATTTAAGATTACTGGAGCATTGCAGATCAAATCTGTGACAAATGATAGTGTTTTAAAGTCAAAGACACTCATCTCCACGTCTGGTGTGAAGCTAAGCTCAAACAAATCAGATAATCTTGGACGCGTTCTGGAGGATGAAGAGCTCACACGTCTCTGCTGTGTTTAAAAAAAAAAATCACCCTAGGCTCATAGATCAGCTCAGTTGGAAGCATATATTGATATACAGCGTGAATCAGCCCACTGTGGAAGACAATATTTGAAATACAAGCACTTTGATTCATGGAGCTGCCGCCTCGTACACGGCTGTACAGCTTCATACGTGCATGGCAGCTCCGTAGTATTTGGAACAACTGCAGCCGCCTGTGTCTAATCAATAAGACAGCGTTGATAAATTTCACATCATTAGAGCGGCAATGCTATAAAACCATGGCTGTGTTTTCACCTGCTTCTTGCCATGACATTGATCGTCTTTGAAAACAAGGAAATCGATTACACGTGGAAAAATAAGGCACTTCATGGAAAAACAAAAGCTCTTCTTTCTGTATTCTGAAAAGAGCATCGGGGAAAAAAACAAACCCATTAGCCTCTGGTGTGCATGTGCCTGTATGTCTACTTGTCAGTTTACATATCGACAGGAAAAAAAAGACCACAGTCAAAGCGAACAGTGTGTAAAAAAAAAAAAAAAAACTCTCAGACTGCAGACTCATCCATCCATATTTATAGGCTTTACACATGTGCTGCAGGAACAGCTGGAGGACGCAGTCGACCAACGGTTCAGATCGTCCATTACCCTGCACACCAGCACCCCCATGTGTTTGGTTTAAATCACTCCCACGCAGAATATTGTTTTTGCAAAACTATAACTTGGTTTTAATTCTGTCAAAGACAAAATGTGGAGTACGAAAATGTATCAGTGGCTCGAGAAGGCACTTCCTAAGCAGAAGGTTTGGGGTTTATTCCCACCACAACGGACCTGCACGCATACCTGAATTACAAATCTAAAAGTCAGCTTCACATAGAATTTGATTTTCATAGATTTAAACGGACCTTCTGGGAAAAAAATGTTACCCAACGTTAAAAATTAATCAGGAAGATTAATAAAAAGCATTTTTCATCTGGTGCAAATGGGAATCCAGTTCTTATAAACAGTCTGTAGATAAATTCAAGCCTCTTCTCAAAGAAGTCATGGCTGCCAGAAAAACTAACCAAAGTGCATTTTTGAAATTTTATTAGAATTATTTTTTAAAAATGTCAATTTATTTAGAGATAATTCAAACATCTAAAAGAAGCATCATGAAACTGATCTTATTAAACTGGCCACAAGATTTATCCATTTCTGACATATGGTAATATACGAAATATGGTGAGGTCATCTACATTCTGTTTGACTTTTTCTTGTCCACTTGGGTGCAGCACAACATACATTATGATGATGAGTGTGTAGCCAGCAACAACTTTATTACAGTTAACTGCAACAAAGACACTCTTTTGGATAATGGTCTCTGTCCCCTTGTCAAAACTCAACCCAGTGTTCACTCGTTTTCTACTCATATCTGGCTCCTTTCTTTCTGCTAAATGCTTAATTACATTCACCGACATGGGAACTACTGTGGAATAGAAAAGTCAAATTATGAGATGAAAGTCGCTGGCATTAATCAGCGCTTTCTCACACAGCTTAACGGCATCTCTCTGCTCACTGTTTTGGCGTCTACTCTCTCACCACGTCTTTGTTTCTGTCTTAATTCTTTCTTTCTTTTTTTTAATGCTTTGGAGGGATTAATGAATGAATTAAAGGGCTGGTGGAGAAAGTGTCTGGGTTCAAAGGGACTGCTGTCCAGAGTTTTAGGAAAGTTACCAAGATACAAGAGAAAAGAAAGTTTTACAAAATGACAGTGTGATTAAGAAAAAATAAAAAAGAGATTTGTTTGCAAATATATATGAAAACCAATTCGAGTTATTTTAGGCAATGTATTTGCTATGTATTTGACTTCTATATAGCTATTCTTATCTAACTAAATTGTTTTTCCATTTTGCATTAAATTTACACAAGATTAATTTTCATCTATTTGTTGTTTGTTTTGCTTTTTTCAATTTCTGTCTGTCTGTTAGCTATTTTATTGTATGTACGGCTAATGTATGATTATTTTCTTTCCTATCTTTGGCTAATATTTAGTTGTTTTTTTACAAATCTTTAGAATCGCTCTACCAAATAGTCTGTATTTTCGATTTACAGTTGAAAGATGACATTGTTATATGTATTTTATCGTAGTAACCTAGTCAAAATACTTAAAAATACTCCACATGATGCAAAACACATTAACATGCTGCATAGTTCAATAAAATCGCACATGTAAACCACTGACTCCAGAGTGTTTTTAAGTGATGCATGTTAATCCTTTCGCTGCCCCCGTGTGGCTAAAATAGCTCACGGTCTTTGTTTTCCAAATGTAGTTCACGTTTCTGCTTCATCAGTTCTCATAAAAATCCTAGTTCTTTACAAACATGAAATCAAACCCGTGCTTTACCAGGAGGTCATGTTTTTTAACAATTTCTTCCAGCATGCATTGCATCCAACTGACAAAAGGTCAAAAGGAGAGATGCGAGGATAAGGCTCGGAAATGCCATGGGTTTCACCATATGAAAGTGATTCCTGAGACGTTGTTACTGGGGAGGCTTCACCTTTACTGCTTCCTCTTCATGCTGCACATTTGACAGCTGGTTCCCTTATTACCTCCCCGGTGTTTTTACTTAATTATTTCAAGTTATTCTGTGCTGTCATCCAACAAAGGACAAGCTCGATTTGGGGATTAATTAGACACATGAGAAGGACATGAGGGTGAAAAGAGGAGACGATCGTAAAAGTAGGATGAGGGGCGAAGAGATGAAGTGCAGTGAACATGAAGTTGACAAGGTCAAGTACATCAAAGTAAAAAGGAGTAGACGCACAAAAATCACCAGACTCATGAACCATAAACAAGTACGACCATTCCAACAAGTCCAACCTGGCCATTTTTTTTTTCAATGTAACATGAATATTAAGGACATAATATCATAAAAATAAACATAAATAAAAATCAATATTCCTGCTTAGTTAATACATTGAATTGAACAGAAAGTGAGCAGAGCTTTTTTCAACTTAGTTAAGACATAACTGATGACACACCCACTCCTGCTTTCTAGTAAACAAAGTATCACCTGAATTATGTAGTGCTCACACAAAAAAGTCTCAAAAAAAGGTTAACACTCACCTATGTTTCCTAGGTATGGAGCCAAAGGCAGGCACAGACATGGAGAGGGCCTAAGACGGAGCACTTGAGCCAGGCGTCGATCAAGTCCAGCGAGCGGCGGTGAGGTCCGTGGAGGAGCGGACCAGACGAACCTTAAGCATCACCCAGAGCCAAGTTGCCGTAGAGGTGTGTCGGAATGCTCTCCAGGTGTGGGGGCAAAGTTCTACGTCCACCGTGAACGCAATTTATCACATTTTCGGCGACTATACACCAGGAGTAGGTAGACATTGAGAGCAACGAACAACAACAACGGCACAAATACACATACACCGCCGCCATCTTGGCAGTAGCCATTACTTGTACTTCCGAAACAACTGTGGTGAAGCACCTGCACTGATTAGTTGATATAAGCCCCGCCCACAAATTCAATGCATCACCTTACTTCCTGACACACCCACGGAGGGTGGAGCAACATCTCAAAATTAGATTTACATACACTGGAAAATTCAGCTTTACTTTTTCTTTTTTCCATAAACTACAATAAATATAATATATATATAATAATAAATAAGAATAAATACACTTTTCGGTTAATGCAGGATATGCAACAACAACTTCCACAGCACTCACGTTTATCTGCCCTTTTCGCCGTAGTAAATCAATAATATTTATTGTCCGTGTGTCCTCAGTGCCCTCTGGTGTTTGCTCACAGTACAGCACTTATAAAGGTACTTTTGTATTTAATATACTTCCTGTTGGACCATTCGCTATACAGCACCTCTATTTGATATAGAAAAATAAATATTAAAATATTTTGTCCAATTTTGCATTGATTCTCCATTATATTTCCTCTTGTTTGGG